AGACGGTCTCCAGCAGACCAGGGGCACCGGAGCAGCTTACGAACGGGGCTTTCTCGCCCCGGAGCTCGCAGGTAGCAATCCGCTACCTCGACCTCCAGGGCGAGAAAGCCCCGTTCGTAAGTGCGGATCCGACATAAGTCGGATCCGCGTAAGTCGGGGACTGTCTGTATATGAAAATGAACACTTGAGATATTTATTAACAATTAAGTCATTATACCAATAGCATGTCTTTTTAAAACGTGACTTTAATTGTGAGTTTCCACTGCAAGCCAAACTCTTCATTTTAGGAATGCTTTTCTGTCTTCCTTGTATGCAAACTCGTTTATAATTGAAGAAAAGTCTAATTTGCGTGCAACATCAGTGTTAATGTTAAGCATTGTGAGCCCATCCAAACACTCTTGTCCCATTGTAGAATGATGATAGTTCTTTGCTTGTTTTAACACGTTAAATGTAATTTCACCTGATGCCATGGATGCAGGGAGATTGACAAAAATACATAATAGAATACATAATTAGGAAATACAGTTGACAAACTGAGATTTGAATATTTCTTGACGCATTCTTTTGACTTGCAGCTCAATTTAAAGTTAGTGGAATGTATACATTGAGATTCAGCACTTAGTTGTCTGAACTCCCAAAGGAATAGAAAAAAGGGTACAATTTGTTGCAGTGACTCAAATCAAGATGTAAGACCAGATTTGATGGAGTCAGTAATAACAAAAAACAAAAAAAAATTGACCTGATAGTTTCTTTCTGCATTAGATTGAGATGTTAGGCTGTGATTGGTAGAAAATTCAGATGACATGTCAATACCCTGTGCTACTGATTTGGACTCAGAAGGATTGCGTCCCACTGATCACAGATTGTTTGAATATATTTAAGAAGTCATTCGATGTTATCCTTCTTAACATCTAGTGTAGCATTGCATGCTTCCAGTACAAGGTTAGTAACGTGGATCATTTTTAGCAGATTCAGCTATATGGATGACATTAAAATGCATTTACATTTGGAAATATACTTCTGAATTGACTTAAGCTCAGGGTACATCTAGACTACATGCCTCTGGTGACAGAGGCATGTAGATTAGGCTACCAGGCATAGGAAAATGAAGCTGATCAGCTGTTTGTTGGCTCAGCGCGGCAGCCATGTAAATTTAAATGAAGCGGCGATTATTTAAATCGCCGCTTCATTTTCCTATGCCTGGTAGCCTAATCTACATGCCTCTGGCGACAGAGGCATATAGTCTAGACGTACCCCTAGTGTGAGCCTGTGCTGTCAGAGTAAATCATTCAAGCTCATTTAAAGCCTTTCTCATAGAGTCCAAATGGTGTGCAATTGGTTTAATGCCATCAATTTGTGCTGACAATCTCGTTGACATGCCATGAAGGGAAACGGGCAGATGCTGCTTCAGAATTTCCCACTTTTGAGGACTTCTACTGAAGAGGCTATGTAATTGCTGGATTGTTTCAAAGTACTGTATGTGATTGCTTCCTTAAATGATTCAGCGCAATCATCGCCAACAAGATTTAGTGTGTGGTTGCCACAACTGGAGAAAATACAATTTGGTTTTTGTTCAAGGACTGCTTGTACTTCGTTGTCCTTCCCAGCCATATTGTCATAGACTTGGCCAATACAGACTTCAAAATTTAATTTGAAGCCTGTCAGAATTTCTAATACATGAGTGGTGATTACTTTTTCAGGTTTTTTTTGTGAAATTACCGCACAAAATGAATCCTTCTTCAGTTGAAACTTTTGAACTTCTTGCAATTGTAACATCTCAAACAAACAAGGTTATCTGCTCTTTGAGTACAGTCTGGAGTTGCATCAATAATCATTGAAAAGTACTTCGTATGTTGTATCTCTTTAAGAACTGTTGTTTGCACAAAAGTCCCACACAGCTCAATAAACTCATTTTGTATTCTGGTAGACAGATAATGGACCTGTATGTATTTTCTGCTTTCTTGTGGACCCCATTCTGATAGGGCCTGAGGAAGACCCATGTATTCTAAAGTCTTTTTAGAATAAAAAGATAACTCTCATCAAAGCTGTTCCAAACTTTCACTGAAATAGTTTACTTTGGCCACAGTTCAAAAGATGAATTTTCAATCGTTTGGTTGTAGCTTTCTCCAAAAGCTTAGTAAGAAAATAGTAAATTTTAAGTTCGGAAGAAAACTGGCAAAGTGTTTGATGGCAAAAGTATGTGTCTGTTTTTTTTTAAACCAATATGTTGAATCCAACATCCAGACGGTATGCAGTACTACGATCTTGAATTGCAAAAGCATTTTTTTCATAGCATGGTGAGAGGATTTAAATTAGAAATAACCTTTGCTTGATGATACAAGTTGGACCTCCCTGGACGGGCACCCTCGGGACCTGAGCTGTCCCAGACCAGGGAATTTGCCAGGGAAGGTCAAAGTTCCCCTGCCGGCTGCCCCGCTGATGGCTCCTCTCCCTGCCCTCTTGCCGCCCCACTAACATTGACCTGGCCAAGGCTCCTTGCCCTGCTGCAAGGAGGTTCCTCCAGCCAGGGCTACCTGATCACCACCAGTCCTGCTACCTTTGGTGGTTGCTCAGGGTTTCCCAACACCAAGCCGCTTGTGGCCCTGCTGCTGTGGTCTGCCCGCTGCCAGTGAGGATTTCCAGGGGTTTGCTGGCCCTGCTGCCGGGGCTCTCCGGCCACCTGACCCCATTGACACCAGGATATCCCCGGTAGGGGTGGAGGCTCCTTGATGCCACCCGGCCCCACTGATGCTGGGGTTCCCTTGCTGGGGCCGGGACTCCCTGGCTACTGCTGGCCCCACTGCCGGGTTTCCCCAGCTGGAGCTCCTGAGCCACTGCCTGATCCTGCTGCTGCTGGGGATTTTCCAGTCAGGGCTCCCTAGCCATCCCAGCCCTGCTGCTGCCAGGTGAGTTTCGGGGGTCCCCGGCTGTCACGGATCCCACTGTCGGGCTCTCCAGCCACCTGACCTCACTGACACTGGGATTTCCTGGCAACAGGGAGACTCCCTAATGCTGCCTGGCCCTGCTGACACCAGGCTTTCCCTGCCTAGCTGCAGCTAGCCCAGCATGGACTCCGCAAACCCCATGTTCTCTTGGCTGACTCCTGCTCCTGGGGCTCTTTGGTCCATCAGCGTCCGTGGACCACCTCTTTAAACAAATATTTTCTCTTAAATTTACATTGACAATAGAGTGATAAAATGCATTTATTTTTGTAATCCTGTAACCACTGAAATTTACAGTGTTTACATGGGGTGGGAGGGGGGTGGCAGGCGGGAGCCAGTGCTTGTGAGGAGCTGGCTTTTAGGCCATCTTATTATTAATATTAAGGAGCTCTTAATACATTTGAACAGCACATTTAAATGTCCTCTTAATACATTTTAAAAGCACAGCGGGGGGGAGGGGCAGGGGGAAGAGGAGGACCAGGTGTGAGCCAGGACAACTGATTCCCGGTTCGTACCCGTTCTCCCTGCTGTGCTTTTAATACATTTAAAAGGCCTCTCAACACTGTGGCTGCGTCTAGACTGGCAAGTTTTTCCACAAAAGACCCTTGACTATTTGCTTCCCCCCCTTACTATCTCTATTAGAGGCAGCAAGGCAGGAGAGCAGGAACCAGTGCTGGGGAGAGCCAGCTTAAAAGCCAATTCCCCATATGCACTGGCTCCTGCCTTCCCCCCTGCCTCTGATACAGAGGGACAGGGGACTGCATGTATCCGTTAGGATTAACTGATGAGCCCTGGCTCATCAGTTAATCTTGTAACCAGGTACGTGTTCACATCTCTAATTGACAATTGATTTTTCTGTTAAGTAAATATCACAGCACAAAGCCCTGTGCACATTTGGTGCAAGAAGTCCAAGTTTACGACGTGCTACACTTACTCAGTTCTTTTTGGGAGAAAGGGTGGATATAGTGTTTTCTCTAAGTTGTCTTTTGATTAAAATATATTATTGGCCTATGGTACCACCGCTGGTTATTGGAAAACTCATATGAGCAAGGCCAAGAGCTGTCTGTTTGTACTGGAAGATAGTAGTCTTGGCATAGAAGTCAACAGTGTTACCTCTCATTTTTAGTTATCTGAAAGGTTAACTGTTCAAAGCACCAATTTTGAAAGAGAAACAGCTGTTAATTTCACATAGCCTAGTACCTGAGATCTATAAGAAACAGGAAAGTAGAATATTATTAAAATTTTTGACTTTTATAACACTTTGGCACCTCCTCTAAAATATAACGATATGTATTTGTTATGGCTGCTGCAATGCTGGATTAATCATAGCCATAGTGTTCTAGCTACCACTTCTCTCTTACATTAATATTCCTCTCTGTGTTATTATACTCTCCCCTCACATATAAAGATCATCAAGGAATCTTTGTGTATATTGGCTATTTCTTTAGTTTTGTTCACGTGGATTTTAACATGATGAAATTGTCTTGGTATGCAGTCAGTTTTAATCAACGGGAAATGTTCTTGATTTACAGAATATTAATCTTCGGCGCTTCAGGTGGAGTTGGTACCTTTGCTATCCAGGTGATGTATTACAATAAGCCCTATATTAGTCCTTATAAAAGTACCCTGTGATTAAGTTTGAGGATGTGGGGCAGTTTGTGGTGAATTAGCAAGCTATTGAAAGATCTCAGTGCAAGCCCGAAGGTAAGAGAATTGTTTTGAGTTTTATCATTCCATCTACAGTAAAACCTGCGCTATCTGGAAAACTGTAGAAACTGTCAAATTTCTGACTCTGGGAAGAGCAAAAAAAAAAGGAGGAGGAGGAACTGGCCCTTTAAGTTCCGGGCCACTTCTCAGATGAGCGTGCAGCACGTACCTGGGGGAGGGACAAATGTCAGCTGGAAGCAAGCAGCAAGCGTCTCCGCTCCTGGCACCCCCAGCAGGCCATCTCTGCATCCCACCCCCCCATACTAGGCCGTATCTTCCCCCCCCAGTGGCTCCTGGGCCCCCCCCATGTCCAGAAGTTTTAGGTTATCAGCACGCCCTAATTCCCAGGAGTGCCGGATAACCAAATACGGTAAAACCTGTGTTATCTCAGCCTAGAGGTTGGCAACCTCTGGCTCCAGAACTGCACGTGGCTCTTTGGCTGCCCCATTGCAGGCAGCATTTTCCTGAAAAAACCCTGAATTTCTGAAAAAACTAAAAGTCCAGCAGTGCGGCAAGGCTCAGGCAGGCTGCCTGCCTTCTGTGACCTTATGCCACTTGCGGAAGTGGCCCACTGCTAGTGCAGTCTGTGCACTCCCTGGGCAGAGGCAAGGCAGCTGTGTGCGCTGTCCCTGCCATCAGCACCGCACTCACAACTATGGCACAATTCTTTCCCTGACCCTGCATCCCACACTCCTGCCCCAGCCTAGAACTAAGGATGTTAAGGACTAGTCGACCAGCAAATGCTTATGGGACAATAGACTAGTCAATTTCCCCCCTCCTCCCCGGCTGCCTCTATCAGATTCTTATTGTATAGATTCTTATTGTTTATTTTTAGTATGTTAGAAAATGGTGAATGATATATTGCTTATTTACTAGATATTAAAATTTTTGCTTGGGATTTGTGATGAGCTGCATTAGAATAGTAACTGGAATTTAATTTAACATACAAAATAGCATATACATCTTATTTTTCTTAAATAAAACAAGTCTTTAGAGTTCATGACCTTTTCTGATGTATTTACAAAGCTTAAGGTCAAGAACTAGATTTCCCCCTTTCTTACCCCCCCACCCCTATCCTCTTTAGCTAGAAGAAGAGCCTTTAACTCAGTTTGTGATAGAGGGTGAGGGAGTCAGCATGCTTTTTTTTATTTAAACGTTAAAAGACAACTTTACAACTTATCTGAATTTAGTACAAAATGTTTTTATTTTAAACAGGTTTAGTTTTAAAAAGAAAAGCATTTTATTATTAAGAATGTAAAAACATCTATTTGAATTACAAATCTGATTACAATATTTTTTAAAAAATCATTGATTTTTCTCCACCTTGCATTTTGTAAATTAGAAGCCAGGTGCATACTTAAACAGTCAGCTCCCACTCTGTTGCAAATGTTTATTTGGAATCTGTTGATAATGAGATATTGGTGGTCTTGAGTGTTTTCTCTGTTTAAATAATTTTGAAGTCTTAATTTTCTTTTTTATAGTTAATGAAAGCTTGGGGTGGTCACGTGACAGCAGTTTGTTCTCAGGATGCCAGTACCCTGGTGAAAAAGCTTGGAGCAGATCATGTGATTGATTACAAATCTGGAGATGTAGCAGAGCAACTGAAAATGTTACCATTGTATGTACTAATATAGTTAAGTATTTATATAATACAGTATGGACTATGGGCTCGTCTATACTACGTTTTTCTTTTGAAAGAAGATATGCAGATTCAGTGGCATCTCAGGATGCCAGTACCCTGGTGAAAAAGCTTGGAGCAGATCATGTGATTGATTACAAATCTGGAGATGTAGCAGAGCAACTGAAAATGTTACCATTGTATGTACTAATATAGTTAAGTATTTATATAATACAGTATGGACTATGGGCTCGTCTATACTACGTTTTTCTTTTGAAAGAAGATATGCAGATTCAGTGGCAT